CTGCGGGGCTTTCGTTTTTTCTTAGTTTTTGACTTCACTATTGTGAAGCCGTCGCTTCCTCCGTCATGGTTGCTCACGTCAGGATCACCTTCAGCACCTTCATTGTTGCTCACTTCAGGATCACCTTCAGCACGGACTGAAGCGGATTCCTCAGCCGCGGGAGGGGAGGGACAGTTACCCACCGGGTCCTCCCCCTCAGTGTTTACTTTGCGGTCTCCCCCCATCGTGGGGTGACCGCGTGACCGCCGCGCCTGGGCCGCCCCGCTCGCCCGCCTCGTGACAGGTGATATATAGCGCTCGGGACAACGGGGCACTCAGCTCTAACGGTTACCACGGCATCTCAGTTAAATGTGGTACACGTTTACCGTAGATTTGTGTACTTTCTCGATGAAATCCGGCCAGCACTTTTTGAGCTAGGCTGCTAACAAACAAACTAACCAACAAACCAACGCCGTCAAAAACATAACCTCCTTGGCGGAGGTAACAACAACAACGACGATGATAATAATATTAGTAATACTACTATTACTACTAATAATAATATTAATAATGATAATAACAATGATAATGATAATGATAATAATGATAATAATAATAATGATAATAATAATAATAATAATAATAATAACAATAATAATAATAACAATAATAATAATGATGATGATGATGATGATTATAACTTTGGTAATATAAGGATAATGTTAACATTGGTGATAACAATAATAACAATCACAGGAGAAATAATAAAAATAACAATAACAATAATAATAATAACTTCAGCAATTACGATGAAGATGATTATGGTAATGATAATGATAATGATGATGATGATAATAACAATAACAATGACCCGTATTCATTGCGATTGTAGATAAGGTATCAGTGAGTATGAATATCTTCACCTCAACAAGAATAATGATAATAATGATAATAACAGCAGTAACAACAATAAAATTGTTGATGGTAATGATATTACTAATGATGATAACAATAATAGTAATGATAATAATAATAATAATGATAATAATAATAATAATAATCATAATGATAATAATAATAATAATAATGATAATGATAATGATAATGATAATGATAATGATAATGATAATGATAATGATAATTATAATTATAATTATAATTATAATTATAATTATAATTATAATAATAATAATAATAATAATAATAATAATAATAATAATAATAATAACAATAATAATGATAATGAATAAAGATACTACTAATAATAATTATAATAATAATAACAATAGTAATAATAATGATAATAATAATATTAATATGATATGAAGAAGAAGCAGTAGATGAAGATGATTAATGATCAATAATGATAACAATAATCATAAAATCGATGATAATGCTAATTAAGATGATAATTAAAGTAAAAATACTGATCGAAATAACAATAAGAATCCTGAAAGCACTTTCAGGTATATTATCAGAAATCTGTCAAACGCACTGGAATGAGCCACACACCCGAAACCACCATTGGAAGTAATCTATATACACCATCGAGCATGATAGACGATACTTAGAAATTGCGCGTGTCAGAAGGGACGCGGTGCCATAATTCATGTTTAAAGGTGAAACTCAAACTTGCTGTAGGCGTTGTCGGTCGAGTAATAGGGTTCACGGTTCGCGCCCGCTTGGTCCCGCCAATAGGCATGCACAAGAGGCATGCACAAGTTGACGGAGGCGTTGCGGCTCAAGGGCCACGGCGAACTCTGGAAGGGGGAGGATGGGAAAAGGAGATGAAGAGATGGAAAGCTAAAGAGAAAAAAATGAGAGTATGTAAAGATAGATAGTATTTAACATGTGACAATCGGTGGCGAAGAAAGGAAGCATTTCAGCAATACCTAGCTTTAGTGGACAGTATATCAAGTATATCAAAGGTGCGGGGGGAAACCACAAGCGGCGACTGGTACTCTGTAAAGTGGCTTCTCGATACGGGAAAGCGACCGGGTTGCGGGATGCCCGCCGTTATGGGGGTGCTGGAGGCTGCGGCGACGAGCGCCACTCTTACAGTTGTTAGTATTGTTGTTGTTATAGTTGTTATTGTTATTATCATTATTAATGTTATCATTATTATTATCATTATTACTGTTATCATTATTATTATCATTATTACTGTTATCATTATTATTATCATTATTACTGTTATCATTATTATTATCATTATTACTGTTATCATTATTATTATCATTATTATTATCGTTATTACTGTTATCATTATTATTATCATTATTACTGTTATCATTATTATTATCACTATGACTGTTATCATTATTACTAGTAATGGTGTTATCATTACCATTATTTTTTAAATAGCATTATCATTATTTTTATCATTGTTATCATAATTATTACTATCCTTATTAT